GACAGAGCAAGACCAAGCCAACCCTGGCAAATTTTGATGGTTCTTTATTGAAGGCATCAACTGCTACAGAACACGATAGGAGAAAGGTAGTAAACCTAGCTTTAATCCCTATGTATTCTAAAACTACAGATCTCTTAAAGAAGGGACTACATTTTTCACTAGGTAATGACGGTAAAGTTTTTAGTGATATTCTTGTGGAAGTTGTCAAAATAACGGATAAAAATCTAGAAGTTACAAGGCGGGAGATCGAACACATCAAGAACCGATACACATGAGCAAATGGGCTGGTATACGAAAAAAAAAATCAATTAGTTCTACAGGCGAATAAGGGCGGGGTGATGATTGTAATGGACAAGAAGCATCACACGAATAAAATTGAAAGTATCCTTGGCGACCGGAACAATTATCAAATATTAAGCAAGGATCCAACCACGAAGGTCAACGGGACGCTAAAGAATATGCTCAAGGAAATGCATAATAATGGGGAAATTGACAGATGGATGATTAAATCTTTAATAAAAAATGACGCAGGATCACAGACAGCCTACGGACTACCGAAGATACACAAGGAAGCAAATTTTCTAAGATTAAGGGTCAACAACAAGAATGAAGCAATGCATAAACTAGCGAAATTCATTTACTTGAAACTCAAGAAAGTAAAGGACAGACTCTCAAATACTATTAAGAATTCATATGAATTTTCTCAAAGGATCCAGAGCATTGGGTTGGTGGGGTTGGATCTGTTGGTGAGTTTCGATGTACAATCCATGTACATAAACACCTCAGGCTAGAAGGCGGTAAGTGACTTGCTGGAGATATTGGAGCAAGAAGAGGACATCCTGGAGGCAGAACGGATATGGAAGGAGTCGTTTACACGATTAATCAACCTGCCAGTTATGACAACATATTTCACATTTAACGGCATTATCTATGAGCAAATAGTTGGACTACCGATGGGCTCTCTATTCTTACCACTTTTGCCAAATGTGTACATGGAAAAGTTGGAAAGGGAATTAGAGAAGTCACCACTGCAACCAAGAGGGCTAATGCGATACTTGGATGACTACTTTGCACCTTGGTCACATGATAAGGAAAATCTCAATGAATTACTCAATTTCAGTAACGAACTTGATGAAAGAACTAAATTCACAATAAAGATTGGGAAGGATGAACGACTAATGGACACTCATGAGGAGACTAACCAGAAAGAATTTATATGCAGGAATAATCCTCAATTTTCATTCGCATCATAACTGCAGGCTGAAGATCAGATTACTGAAGAGTTTGATCATCAGAAGCTTACGACTAACGGACAATGAGTTCTGAAACGAGGAGTTGGACAAACTGACACGGATTTGCTTAGTAACGGAAACCACAGAGCATTTATAGAAAAAAATGTGAAGATTATAAAGGGCCGATTCTAACTTAGATTTTATAAAAATCAGATCAGGAATCAGGATTAAAACCGAAAGTGGATTTGCCTGCCCTCATCACAACTGAGCCAAAAATTGCGTCAGCTACTTAGGAATGGAAAATCCGGGTGATAACGAAGGAGAAGAAAACACTTTTCACCAGTCTGACGACGCAACACGAGAATAATGACAAATTTGAATGCTCGAGAGTTTATCGCATCAAATGTGGCAGCTATAAGCAGAATTTTATCGGTAAAATAGGAAGAAAAATCGGCCAATGAATCAAGGAACATCAAAGACTTGGCAGGAACATGGATACAAAAAGATCCGAATTAGCGGAACACATTGAATTACGGGGCACGAAATCGACCGGAAGTCGACCGAAAGGATGGTTGCGTGTGGTGAAGATACAAGAAAACACAATATCTGAGAGGCCATCAAAATACTCACCGAGAGAGATCTAATGAACATAAAAACTTGAAGAAGGCAGAAGTAGCGAAAACTTTTCATACTGCCTAAAAAATCTCTGATAACTAAGTATTGTTTTCGTGAATACCAGTAAATCCGT